CCGTGGAAGTTGGCATTTAAAGCCACTGTATGAACTGAGCTATCACACACTAGCTGCTTACTACCCCTTCTACTGAAATTCCATCTTCAGTAAGAGAGAGGTGGAATCAGTTTAAACCTTGAGCCCTGATATCAATATGGTTTCTTAAATCATTATGTCACCATATCACCTTTCATTTAATAACTGCTCATTAGATAAAATGTCTCATTCTTTTTAGAGACTTCTAAGCAATGAAGAAAATGCTGCTGTAGTGTCTCATCATAAAACAGCTTTTGGCATTAATTTAGGACAAATGAATGTTTTCTTATGGTTTTCCTTTTAGCATCTTCACAGGCTTGACAACACATCAGGTTGGATTAATATTCCACCTGGAAGCAAGTACATTCTGCCTGGTGCAATTCACTGGAACCTTTCAGCTTTTCTCTTTCACACCAAAGAGGCAGTAAATCGTCATGGTTGGTGTCGAGGCCAAGAAGCAACATTTTTCAGAGCTTCAATTGCTCTTTTACTTTCTTTAGCTTAAGAATGCATTTTGGTTTAGAAATACGCTTAATGCAATAAAGGTTGTTTGTTTACTTAAAGGAACCATGAGGGGAAAAGCAAAACACCATCCCACTTAAACAGTTATGGAAAAAAATCCTGCTTTGCCAATGAGCAAATTTAAACTGCCTCCCCCTGGACTGTTGCACTGTGTCAAAGGCATTTCCTGTGAATAGCACAAGCAAATTCTTTTGATTTTTTTTCCCCATTTTAGTTTGATCTTAATGAAAGATTATCAGGAGCTAAAGCTATAAGTGAATTAGATCGATTAATCTGTACAGGCTGTGGAGCAGGGATACAGAGGGCTCCAGAAAAAGAGAAAACCCAGAAGGCTGGCAGCCTATCATATTTAACCGGCAGATTCTGATGTTTACGACTAAGGTGCCAGGTTCTCTTTGGGGAAAGAGGGATAAAAAAAATAGAGTTCTTCTTCCAGATACATCTCCAAAATATTTAGTTCGCAGGAATGTCTGTGATATTTGAAATATTTTGAATATTCAGGTTAAACAAGATTTAAGGATCCAGAAAATTTTAAATGTTACCATTAAAATCCTTGAAATTGTAAGAGACTGGATTCTTGTTGGAAAACTTAAGAGATGCAGCAAGATTTCTCTCAATTGCATGTACTAAATGGAATAAAAAAATAAATGGAATAAAAGACTTGTTTTATTCCAGTCTTCACAGAGCTGGATTTGGCTGTGCTTTAGAATTTTGAGTGATAAAGGATCAAAAAATAGGCATTTCAGAGGCGCAGTTTGTTAGAAGAAGCTAAGTCGCGAAGGAGATCATGTCATATTGATATACAGGAACTTACTTACTATACAGAAGAAGGAAAAAGGAGGAAGGTTGTTTTAAATGAGCAGTTCCTATTGGTATTCATGTCATATAAGCAGCTAGAACCTATAGGAGGAAAAATATTTAGTAAATCACAAGTAGCAAAACTTATCCACACAATTTTACTATAACACATTATATCCTGCAGACCTTTCAGACCCCCATTGATTCTGAATGAAAAAGAACTATAGGATTAAGCATATTTTCTAAAATAAATTTAAATGTCTGTCTTTATCCTGTGTATTCTTTTCTGAAGTACAGCCAGAGCTGAACTGAAAGAGAAGAAAAGGGGGGGAATCTAGATTAGTTGTGTGAAGGGGTTGTTTGAACATGTGTACCATTCAGCTCTAGAAAGGCATTGCACTGAGGTCATAAAAGTATTGTTACTGTGTATGAAGATGGACAAAAATCTGCCTTAATCACACATGGCTTACCTGTCAGAGGTCTGATGAGGTTACTTCATATTGAACTTTTCGTTACTTCGTGTTGCAAACCATGATATTTCCTTTTTGAACTCTCATATCAAACGCTGTTTATTTTTTTAAAGCTCAACTCAAAATCAATATTAATTTAATAATTGTGTGGGTTTATTGGTATTTAATGACTATCCAAGTGCTTAATAATGGAAACTTGTTCTTTAACTCAATGTTGTAACTGCGCATTTCGACGAACACATTCTCATGCACATGTTTTTATAAATCATTCTTACTAATGTCTGAAATAAAATTTAAAAATGAAACAAAAATGAATAGTTCAGGTACTAATGCTGCAGTTTAAACTTATTTGAATTTTCTAATGTCCTTCATTTTTTCATAGCCTTTAAAGGTATGATTTTTTTATACATATTTTAATCTTGATGAATATATCTGCCTAATAATAACAATACTAATAAAATTAAATTAAACTGGATTAAAAAAAAAAAGTCTTTAAATATGTGGTGGGGAATAGTTGTCATTTCTGGATTTCTTGAAGGTCTAGGACTGTGTTATAAGAAACCCATTTTTCCCTGTCGTGTCTTCTTTTATTGTCCTATTTCCTTTGTACCTCAGTCTTGCTGGCCTGTTTTTGTCTGATGTCCTCCTTATGAGAAATTTCAATCCACTTAATTTTTATCTTTTTACAGTCAGAACTCCACATAGATGAAGAAGCAGTCTATGCCAGCCATTGGCTGACTCTTGTGTTCCTGTGAACTGAGGGTCATTCTTTATTCTGAAAAAGATCTCGTTGCCAGCAGTAAAAGGTTGATTATGTACATACCGAATGAAGCCAGTGGAGTTTTTGTTCTGAGTAAAGTGTGCTATAGAATTTCTTTGGTGTTACAGAAAATGTTCTTGCCCATCAACATCAAGATTTCAATGCACTTATTGCAAGAAGTCCTTACTCAGAACATACTCTATAAAGTGGGGAAAAAACTCCATTTCTACGAAAACCGTATCCTTCTGTATCATGTGCAACACAGATATAGTAGTAGACTCTAAGTGTACCAGTCTGGGTTGCAGAAAAATTTAGGAGTTCCCAGAGAAATTTAGGTCCTTAAGTCCCATTGAAACACCTCCTGAGTGTCTTTCAGGACCTACTACCCCTTTCTTAACGCAGAGAAAAATAAGCCCATTGCAACAGACCGAAAATATCCTAAAGGAGATGTATAATTTATATGACTGCATTTACAAGATTTATCTGGTTTGGTGAAGGAGAGTGTGTATTTAGTGTGTTGAGGAAAGGTCTAATGCTAACTGATCTTAAAAAAGAAATTATTTTTGTAGTGAGCTTGTTTTAATTACTTTTGTTTCTCTTCTCCCCAGACTAGCAGGTCTGCTTCCCTTTCCTGTGAAATTAAACTTTCCCTAAGCTTAAAACAATGTGAGATCTTGCAGGAAAGGGACCAATCCTTAGGTTAAGAAACTGGGAAAACAGCTGACCTGTGTGACCTCAGTCTGTATTAGTCATTAGCTTATTATTAATAAATAGATTAAAAAAAAATATCAATATTCTGTGAATATTTCTTTCTCTTTAGCTTTTGGTGATTTTTTTTTCTTTTTTATTTTGATGTTTATATTATCCCAGATGCTTTTTATCAGGTTTTTTTTTCTCAGATCCCACACTGAACATGACTCAAATTTTATATTTAAGAATCTGTATTCATAGAAGTACAGAACTGACTATTGGTACTTTTTGTTGGTGCTGATATGAATTATGAAAGTAGGGAATGTACTTAGAGGTAACATAATGTCTGTGAGTGACTCCAAGCCACTACGGTACATTGTTTAATATTGTTTGATAAATGACTGACCGAGTGTGGCTCTAGTAATTTATCTTTTCCTGCTAGTTTATCCAAGTAACGAATTGTACATGGCAGGCATCTGAGACGGGACAGAGAAACTGGTACATCAGTGTGTGTCAGCTAGTGGTAAAGTAGATCTTTCTACGATGGAGAATAGCAGTTTCCCACAATGGATCTGTTAAATGGAAGGAAAAAAGTAGATGACTTTCCAGGAAGGTGATAAGGCATAAGGCCAGTAAAGCTGCTCTTCAGTGTTTTGGTGTTTTACTGTTTGCCCCAAATAATCAGCAAGGCTCCTAAATGTTCATTATTAGAGTTGGAGATACTAACCCAAATCCAAATTGTTGTTTCCCTTGCAACCAGACTTACATACAGAAGATGATACCTACAAATTGTTTACTCTTAGTACTAACACCATCAAACTGAGCTGCTCCTTTCTACTGGCAGTTAGCCCGACCCTTCTGACCAATACAATTTTTCAGTACCCAGGGAATCTGAACTAAGAGTTTGTGTGAATCCTATTCCTTTCTGTACTGTGCAAGTTATAAGAGCTTTGCTTCAAAACATGCTTTACTGGGTAATTCTGTTATCAATCAACACAGAACAATAGAACTGCACTTGCCAGAATTTACATCTTGAGGAATTATTTCTGCTTTCATTTAAGTTAGTTTCTAAGCATCCATTTTATTCTGGCAACAGGCCCAAATCTCTGGTAACTGGACACAAGCCTTCATGTGTCCTTAGCTCTTTTCCTCCTTTTAAATTTTACTTCCCTTTTTTCCTATCTTCCTACTCTTAACTTTTTAATCTACTTCTATTGCATCCTTTCAGCATTGATTTCTTATTTCTTCGTTTCTTTTTTTCTGTTTACTGGGTTTCTAGTCCTAATACCTGTCTTTTACTACTGCAAGAAGATTGATCAAAGTACTACTAATTGTGTGTTTGTGTGCCTGACAAATTGTGCCATGTCTTGTGCAGTTACATCTAGAGTCTGATCAAAATGTTTTAACATATGGCACTGAGTTCACTTAAGGTGTCATATTTCAGACAAATTACACACACCTTCTAAGCAATTTGGATAAACTAATACTCTGAGGACAGTCTGAGATATCTTCTCCATAGGATTTAACTTCTTCGACCTTCCAGAACCTCAGGCAATTGGATGTATAACTATTCTCCACTTTACTAAAGATAAATCTCTCTCTTTTCAAATACTTATGTACACACAGGTGCACTTATTTATTTATAGCTAAATAAGGTCATAAAAAAACCAAAATATCTAGGATGTTTTAACTATTTCATTGACTTTTCAGATTGTTTTTAAGCTGTTTTTTAAACTTTAAAGGCAACACTGATAGTGAACGGTTCCAAATGGTAAAACAGAAAATTCCCTTCAAATATAACCGGCCCGTAGAGGAGTGGCTGCAGGAAAAAGGTAACAGTCATTAAAACTTTCATTTTAAACCCATTTGATTCTAAACCCTCATTTTTAAAGCCTGCAAATAAATGTTTCTTAAATGATAATCGCCTGCTGCGTAAATGACTGTTTTAATTTTCATTATAATTTGTGTCAGCTTCCACCTGCCATATGTTGATAAATCATGCTATAATACATTGCTATTAAAATGCAGTTAAAGGGACAAAATTCTAAGCTTGCTATAATAGTAATGACAAACAAACAAAAATTTTCCAACAAAAAAACAAACCACCAAAACAGAGTGAAGAGCAACTACATGTATTATGGCAATTTAACCACTGCATGATTTTCCTGTTTTTATTTGGTTTTAAACTACATTTATATCTTTATTATCAAAGTTTTCTTAAACATATTCAAACCTACCTGTTAAACCACTTCCTGTAAGTTTTATTTTTTTTTTCTCATTAGTCTGATTAGCCACTATGGCTATGTATTTCCTAATTGTATTAAGATAACTAATTGATTTTAAAAAATGTTGTAAAGAAAACATTTTTTAACATTTTCATTTAAACTACATTGAAGGAGACAGAGAAAGATGATTGTTCTGTCACTTTTATGCTATGTGTGGAGTACAATTTCAACTCTCATGACACATTTGTCTTAAATCATGGGTCAAATTATTCCCTAACTTAATCTCAGGCAGTGCTACTTAATTTTGTGGGTTTGCCTGGAGTAATTAGCCTCAGATCAGTAAAAAGACTTGTTAACATGCACAAGTCCAGCTGGCTTGAGTGAGAGTTCTGCATATACTCCTGACCTGTTAAAACAGGACTTGTGTCAGAACAGTAATGTTTTTTTATCAGGAATTTGGAAAGGGAAAAAAAATTCTTGGCTGTAGAGCCTATTCCAAAGCCTGTTGAAGGTAACTGAATACAGTGGTGCTTAAGCCAGCAAGGTCTTCTTGCTCTATAATAAATACGGTATTAAAAAAAAAAAAAAAAAAATCACTGTAACTGACTCCTTGCCTTGAAGTCTAGAAAAAGCAGAACACAGTCTTCTCTTGTTTCCTCTTAAGAAAGTACTTCTGATAAAAGGGGGTGACCTTTGAACTCAGATCTTGCATTTTCTGTGATGATGTAGACTATGATTGTTGCCAAATTTTCCAAGAGGAAAAACCAATGTTTTGTAGAATTAAAAAAGTATAATTCATGTTCTGTTTCAAACTTCTGTCTCAGCTGAATTAACAGATTGATTTAACCAGGATGAATTAGATCACAAAGGATGTGGCTAAGTATAGTCAAAATATTTTTAAATGAAGGGTTTGATCCTGCAAAGCCTTGTGCACGCTCACTTCCCATTGACTTCTGCGCGACCTGACAGTGTTGCCCACTTTTCAGGTTTGGTCTACAAAAATATAGTGTTTGCAACTGTAGCTAAAATATTTGTGAAAGACAAAAATATTTGTGTAACTAAAACATTTATTTTTTTTTTACCACCAGGGTTTTATGGAATAGTTAATTCAGCTAAATTATAGGTAAATTTTAGGACAAAGGTATACAGAAAATGCTTATTGAGTCTCAGTGGGTTGCCCTGTTAATTTACAAGATCAAACTAAAATAAATAAATAAAGCTTAACACTAAAAAGAAGATAATTTTGGTAAGTTTGAATTGCTAAAGTCCGTTTAACACTAAACACGATTGCCTCAGTTTTGTTAGAACAGATGCATGTCTAATTCCTTGATGCAGTTCATGTGCTTGAGAAACTCACCTTTCTTTTCTTGTGTTTTGTTTTGGTTATGGGGTTGGTGGTTGTTGGTTTTTTTTCCCTTTTTGTTTTTCCACCAAGTCTTTTAGTTTATGTCATTGCTTCTTCAAGTTTGAGCTTATGAGCATGCTAAGGCACTTTCATTTGTAAGCCAACCTGAAGTTTTGAACTGAAGTCTACCTTTTGTGGTTATTGATGCTTTGTTAAAAGACAATCACACATGCAGTAGGGTCTAAAAAAGACAATATTTGAGTGTCCAGACACTCTCAAAGCATTAGATGTTTTTAGGCTTGAAGAGTAGAGACATGTTTTTGCGAAAGTGAAAGGAAATTCAGTTTTCACACTTTGTGTTAGAGAATGACATCGTGCAGTGTAACACCCAAGACGGTATCACTTTGTTCATTCATTCCAAAGTAGATAGACATTTTGAGAAACTTAGGTACTACTCAAATTAAAAAATGATAAAATGAATAATTTACCTAGCTGTTCACCAGCCTGCTCATCCATCTGGTCATCAATCCAACAATTCATGTAACATGGAAACCTTCTGTCAGCAGACTTTATAAAGATGATGAGTAAAAGGGTAGCTTGCTATAAAAATGGAACAGGATGAACTGATGGATGAAGGAATAGATAGATTTATCAAAGCGACAGCATATAGAATAGCTGTCTTGCCCATATGAGCTCTTGGCTTGAGCGAGGTAAAATGAAACACTTTTTGACATTTTTGAATTCCATAGATTTGATATTCCTTTGGTACCACTGTTACATTATTTATAATAATGAAATAATTCATTCTTGGGAAAAAAATATAACACATCATCTTTCTGAAGTGGCGTCATTACTGGTTTTGGGGTTCAGTTCCTGTAATTTTTTATTTTCATAAAATGGTTTAAAGTATTTTTAGGAGCCCTGGTAATAAGCAAAACTTTAAACACTTTTAACTTCTCTGAGATTATGTATGTGAGTAAAAAAAAAAAAAAAAAATAAGTATTAGTCCTAAATTGTTCAATTAAGTAGTCATACTTAAATTATGCTAAGGCACAGATGTTGCCAGTTCTGCAACTGGATGAACTAATAAAGACCCAGAAGCATCTGATTAAAAGGACTGATCCTGGAAGTCCTTAATTCTTCAAATCTCTCTTACGTATATGTGAAGTCTTGTTGATGTAAGTGACTGTACTTTTGAAGCAGAACCTGTTAGCATGAATTAGGATTTGCAAAATCAGCCCAAAAATCTCTCTTAGAGTTATGGAAAACTTACACTTCGCTAAGATTTCTCTGTAGTATTTTTGATTGTTATACAGTTTTCGAAATGAAGAAGTCACTGAGAGAGCAAACAAAAAACCGAGAGCTTGAGTTATTCAGAATACTTACAAAACACCTCAGAAACTTAAAGTAGGCTCATAATTTTTCTTTCATATGACACTAAAATAGCAGTAGGAAGAGTTCTCTGTGGAAAAGAAGGACTGGAATTCTGCAACCCTTACATACCTAGTAGAATTTACTAATGTAAACAGTCACTCAATAAAATTCAGTGGCCAAATAAATTTTACTTAGGGTAAGTAAGGGCTTCAGAATCGTATCATCAAAAGAATGATTAGAAGAGACCTATGGTGGCAGAATTGTGTATTCACTCAAGAGTCTTCTCTCATTTCACATGCATTTCCCTGTTGTCTTTACTTATGTGCCTGTACACTATCATAGAGTGAAGAATGAGGAATGTAGACTGTAGATGGCTCCAACAAGTGATTGTTCTTTTAGCAAACACAGTTCTGGTACCAGGGCTGTCTCCAGTATTAACCATATGGTGCAGTGCATGAATCCTCGTCTGAAAGACCACTTAACAAACAAGGGTCCAAAAGACACAAAGTTCTTTTTTTTACTGGAGTGGGGCCCCTCCTTGATGTACACTTTCTTTCAGCATTAGAAGATGCAGATGAAGACCCAGAAATGGAGACATGATCTCTTTTTCAGCCTCAGTATACTCCTTGTTCTGGAAAGTAAAACATGAGATATGACAGACATGTCTAAAGCTGTGCTATGAGCTTGGGTTAGAATAGATGACATCCTTAGGAGAGTTGTGATCCTCCATTAAAAGTCAGGGAATCCCTTTTCTATCATGACTTGAAGAGATCTATCTGAAACTGCTAAAATTCCTTTCTCATCATGACCCACCCCTTTTCCCTTTGGTAGAAGATAAAAAAAGATACAACACTGATTCAAGGGGAGAAAGGAATGGCTTTGAATAGTCAATACTTTCCCTTCATTTTCAGGGATATCATCTCAATATTAGTGAAATAACTTGTTCTTTACTCATCTCACCTCTACCTTTTGGCACTTTTATCATGAGTGAGGTGGGAAGGAGAGAACAGTAGTTAAATGTCTGGGTACATAGGGGCAGGAACAGTATGGAAAGACATACAGTGCTAGAGGGAAGTAATATATGAGGAGAAGGGAAAAAGGTGTAGTAAAGAGCTGACAGCATGTCCATTAAAAAACACAAGACAAAAGAAAAGCAAACTCCGAGGACGTGGTATATGAGTTTGGCCTTCTACGGTGTGTAGTGGCATGTGCTCTAGCTCAGACAGGAGCTGGCCTGAGAGGGCTGAATATTTTGACAGATGATACTGTTATTGGATCCTATTTTCCTCATAGACAAGAAGAAAGGCTTTGTTTACATGCTGAGGATGCGTGGCTTCAGTGCATGTTTCTTGATGTTTTAATAGACTTATGTTGCCTCTGGTAAGTTTAAAACCTCCTGAGATGCAGACTATCGCATCAAGTGTTTCAACACTTTCCAGGGGAAGGATACCCTCCATTTTTATTTCTCATTTCTTCATCAATGCAGTTACTCCACCCTGATCAAGTCCTCATGTTTCATTTACAAATCTGTGGGTGAGGAGCACAAGGGATGTGCAGCCCACCTCCATGTGTCAGTATGTTACACCTTTCCATACACTTTTGCCTAGTTACTTAGGGCCCTCTTTGGGGACAGGAACTCCTTTCAGATACATTTCTTCTCTTGTCCCCATTCTCTTCCCCATGGTCCATCCTGTCACCATAAGATGATGCAACACCGCATCACCACTTGACTTCAAGACCCGTCACGACGACCACCAAAATTGGTGAGCTCCCCCTCGTATTTTGATCTACTGTAACCACTGGCTGTGAAAGAATGAGCAGTGGGTTATAGGCTGTGCTTTGTTACATGGTGGCATTTTGCACCTCCCCTCAGGGCGGACTAGAGAGAGAAAGTGGTGAGTGAGAACTGGGGAGCGGGAATGGGATGGAACATGATGCAAACTTCAGAGTAGACATTTGAATGATGATTGACTTGATGCTGCATTGATAACCCTTCTGAACTCTGCCCAGTCTGACTGTCTGTTGATTCAACAGATTCTAAGTGGCATGCCCCTAATTTTCTGAAGAGCAGTGAAATTATAGGCACTGCCTTTGCACTGCCTGAAGCAATTTATTTCTTAACATAGCCAACTTAGTGCAGCCTGGGACATAAACAGTATCCATAGAGCAGTCCAGGCTGAATGTGATTTAAGTATCCTACAAAAATAGGTGAATTGGCAATTGTTACTATATTTATTTTTAATAAATATATTTTTCATTACATATGATATTAGGCCACTCCTAACACTCAAGGTGTGATCTTGAGTAAACCACTTAACTTGTCTACATTTGAATTTCACTGTCTGTAAGAGGGGAATCACATATAACGCATTATGGGACTTAACATCTGAACCACTATATTACCCTCGCTATTTCAGAAACTTTGCTCTTTCAGAGACATCACAAAAGCTTGCATTTGGTGTTTCTTGGGTTTAGATCTATCAGCTTTCACAACAGAAAACTTGCAGGTGGAAGATCATTATGGATCCTGCCTTAAGATTCTTACACAATCCTTATATCACCATGGTTTTTTTTTTCTGATGTGGTCCTCAAGCCACCCCTTAAAACCCTTGCACTATTAGAAGTGGCTTTATGAGTTAATCCCACCCTTTGACCATTCAAATTAGAAGGTTTATTTAGGGGCTAAAGCTTAACAGGTACTGCAATCTGAACTGATAGTAGAAAATAGCCACATATTGGAATGTTATTTGTAGTTTAAAATGGGTCCAACTCTAAAAGAGTGGGTACAAATTTCTGACTGACTCAAAGCTCCTCCAGAGTTTTTGATGTGTGAATGGATGCTGAGGTATGAGGTTCAGTTGTAGCTGTTCTTGCTTTTAGGCTAATCTTCCTTATCAATGAGCTTTAGGCAGTACATTTCCAGACTGTTTCTACAGTCATCATAAACCAAGAATGAATCTACTTCTTTGTTGTCCATCACTTCTGGCCAGGACTCAATGTAAGATGCAAAGTGAAGGAAATGTCTGGCAATAATGTTATTCACCCCCCTTCACTAGGACGACAGTTAACGATCTTCAACACCCAGGCGCAAATAGCCATAGGAGGGAAGGACAGAGGGCGTCTCTTCCAAGGCCAGCTCTCCGGTCTCTATTACAATGGCTTGAAAGTGCTGAACATGGCAGCAGAGAACAACCCCAACATTAAAATCAACGGAAGTGTCCGACTTGTTGGGGAGGTCCCTTCCATCTTGGGAACAACACCCACAACCTCCATGCCACCAGAAATGTCTACTACAGTCATGGAAACCACAACTACAATGGCCACCACTACAACCCGAAAAAATCGTTCACCGCCCAGCATCCAGGTGAGTCAATTAGTCTTTTGCATTTCCTTAGCTTCTTAATTACTCTTTTCTTTCGCTGCTCACTTCTAAGTTCACGGGAGCCATGTTCTCTGAATCATGCTTCATGTAACTCTTTATTTTAACAATGTTATATAAAGTAAATCACCACAATATGTTGTCCTGTGTTGGTGAACAAACAGCTGGATGAGTCATTATGGCACATGTACGTGATAATGGGGACAGATTTTGCTCCTGTTGTACTGCAACCCCATTTATGTAATTAGTATTGCCCCAGTGTGAATGAAAACATAATTGTAACTATGTTTCTGCACTTGCATATCTGGGGAAATGTATTCCTATGAGAGTTACGTAATGGGGGGTAGGTGTATAGTTATTTATTATTACAACAGTATGTACTGCTACAACAGTAAAGTTCATAATGGGGAGAAGAGCAATGGAGCATTACTTCCAGGTAGAGCCATTTTTCATCTTCCTTTTATAGCCTTCCTGTAGAAAATTTTAAAAGAACGCTATCAAGATCAGTTTCTTGCAAAATGCAGAAGTTCCAACATAGAGCAGATCCAATGTCTTTGATAAAAAACATTTCTACAAAAAAAATGAATTTCAAATGTTCTGGCTTAATTGTGCTAATGTAGTGTTTAAAGTCCTAAAAATGCAGTGATTTTTGAATCACTTGTGTAGCAGACAGAATATGGTACTGACTAGAAATAAACACCTTCAACTGGCTCTCTTTGTCGGTGCAAAGAATCATGTAAATAACCAATCTAAGCAGTGGATCAGATTTTTAAAATTGCTTATTTCAGTGGCGTACTATCATGTTATCAACTAGGGTGAAACATTTGTTTTAAAATCGTTAGTTACATCAGAACCTCAACCTGTAGAAATTTACATACTTTCATTGACACCAGCATACACTAGCTGAGACACTGGAAATGGTTATTGATCTGTGTGCCTTTATTAAACCTCCAGAGAAAGGTATATTGTTGTCTAGTTGGAGAAAAAAATAAATTATTTCATCTGCTTCCCTGAAACAATTTCTGCTGCCTGGAACAGAAGATCTTAACAAAATCAAGGATTTTAAAACCTGTAATCATACAAGTTGCATGCTTGCTTTCTAACTGCTTCAGAAGGTTTAATCGGTTATTGATTGTATTTTTATATATATGACTATTTTCTTCATTTTTTATTTAGTCCTGGTGACTTAGGGTAAGAAAACACAAAAATCATCCTCTTAATCATGTAAGGGGTCATGCCTGGACTATACACCTGGAATATTTTGTCTAGTTCTGAGCTTCTCAGTACAAAAGAGAGTGAGCTACTGGAGAGAGTCTAGCACAGGGCTTCTGAGATGGTTAAGGGACTGAAGCATCTCTCCTGTAAGAAAAGGCTGAGACACCTGGAACTGTTCAGCTTGGAGAAGAGAAGGCTCAGGGGGGATTTTATTAATGTGTATAAATACTTAAGGGAGGATGTAAAGATTGACAGAGACAATGCCAGAGACAGGACCAGAGGCAAGAGACACAAACTGCAGCACAGAAGTTTCCATCTAAATGTCAGGAAACAGGTTTTTACTATGGGGGTGATGGAGCACTGGCACAGGTTGCCCACAGAGGTTGTGGAGTGTCCATGCTTGTAAATATTCAAAAGCCATCCGCACATGGTCCTGGGCAACCATCTTTGGGTGACCCTGCTTGGACAGGGATGGGGGTTGGACCAGCTGACCTCCAAAGGTCCCTTCCAACCACAGCCATTCCGTGCAGTACCTCTGGCTGCAGTAGAATTTACAACTATTGGGGTAGTTAATTCCAAGCCAAGGTTTAACACTGCCCTCTTTGGTACTCTGTAAATCTATTTGGCAGCAGGACTGGGATTAATTGAACCTCAAATACCAAACAGGTGATTTATAAAGTCTCAGCTAAGTGAGGGGAAATTACCCCAGGTTTGGTCACTGTTTGTCATAAACTTTGAAAGAATTACAGTTCCTTTTCCTCAGTGGCTAGCTCTAATTTTAGAGCAAGTCTTTGTATGGTTACATCTCCAGAAGAATAAAGTCTGTGGTCCTAGTCCTGCTCTTAGTTTATTGGAGATTTTCTATAATTTATAAAGGCAGCAGATCTGTGTTTAGCTATAGCAGTGTAGCAGAAAGTAGCACTGGACTTTTGTGGGCTGGGTCAAACTGGAAATGACCTTGACTTACTTGAAGAGGAACTCCTCCAGAAAGCTTCCTGTCTAGCCTACATGGCAGTTCACTCAGCCTGTAGAGACCACTGTGTGCTGAAAGAGCATCAGGGAGATTTAATAAAGTGTCAAAGTGCTTCTAAAAACATGGTTAAGAGCAGTGATTTCCTGGATACACATGCACCACAACAAATGGCCTCATCTCAGTTGATATTAAAGCAATAACTCTTTGACACTTTGTGCTGCCCACTGAAAGAAAGATAAAGGTCAATATGTACCTCCATTACAACTTTCTGCATTTTAATATCAGGCCATTTTGTTGCTGTGGCAGCACAGATGGCTTGCCTTTCTTCCTTACTCTTGGTAGAATTTGATGCTGTCAGCTTAAGTTGTATTATTTGTGCGGAGAAAGTAAGAAGGGGTTGTCTTTTTCTGTTCAGGCAGTGTCTCCAGCTGTGGTTTTCTGATGCCTAATGGTTATTTTATCTCGCTTGTGTTCAACATCACCATTGTCAAGCCTGCTTATGATTTTAGATCTAAGTGGTGGAAAAATCTAATAGAACAAGTTTGTTCTTTGGGGAACATAAAATATAGCTACCTAAGGCTATGAACAGTACAAGTACAGTTAGTTATTACCTTGCTCCAGCTTTCTCTTCTCTTCTCTTCTTCTGCTCAGAAATAAACAAGTTTTCTTCACTTTCAAGACCATTCACAGTTTAGCCTCTTTTCTTCCCATTCTGATCAGCATGATTCAAGCACTTTTTTTCTCACTTCTTAGATTTGATCATAAGAATCTTTCTGCTTCCTGGTACTATCCAAAAAGCAACAGCAGATTATTTTTCCAGTCCCATTGAAATGTTTCTTTTATCACGACTCATGTCAAGAAGTTGTCAGAGGTGAGGCTAATGATGGTCTAAGACAGCTGTTTATCAAGTCATTCAATATTGGCACATTTATTGTTTAATTATCCATTTTTTTCTGTATCCATGTGTGAGATCTTGGATACCACACATGGGTACAGAAAAATGTTTATGCTTGGACTGAAGACTCCTTGAACTCAAAATGCACTTTTTATTCTTCAAGTTTACACTACTTAGCACAGAAGGGTTCTGGCCCATTGTAGAAATACCAATCATGATACAAATAAAAGTAAAGCATCTAATACAAAACAGCAAGAATTAGGATAAAGAAGTGTTGGTCGTACTGTATTAGAAGTATTTGTGCTGTTTGTATTACTCATCATCATACGTAATTAACTAAAACATCTCTTTTTTGAAATGCATATAAAGCTTGTGCAGATTATCAAGTCTGTAATCCCAAAATGATACAAAATCCAGGGGAATTTCAGTAGTATTTAGATTTACACATCACTTGTTAAGGAAGTACAGAAAAGCATGCTAAAAGCAAAGATTTCATTTGTTTGTAACCACTTGCAATTAGGTAGTATGAGTACTGCCAGAAGTACTCATTTTAGAGCACAGTTAGACTAAAACAGCTGGGGAAATTCAGCGCTTTAAAAATACACAGTATATTCACAGACCAATGATACACTTTTCAACTTGTGAAGATCCCAAACATACAGTCTCAGACAAAAAAAATGAGACAAAGGGAATTGACAGAAAAATATTACTGGAAATACCCAGTGGCAATGGTATTAGCATTTAAAATGTCTGTAACTTAATTTTGTTTTAAAATTTATAATAACATTTCTTCAAGACAGTGAAACTTAGATCAGTGGAGGATAGGAAGGATTTGAGTGAGAAACAGTTGAGGTGTACGACTGTATGCTATACTGGTATGAACATTTCTGTGAATCAAATATCATTCAGAGAGGCCTTGAAGGAGGATAACAAGATGTCTTTTGATTGTCCTCTCCATCCCACCCAGAGATGGGGAGGAAAAGGGGTGAGCAAACGGCTGCGTAGTTCTGAATTACCGGCTGGGCTTAAACCATGACACAACAGCTGACTTTTTTCTGTTAACTGAAAATAAGGGAGAAAAAGGAATTTTGATCGTGTTTGTTTCAGTAAGTTGCAAATGGTGCTTGTGCTCTGCTGCCCCTGGGAAGAAACACTGATCTAACTTTCTCACGTATGGTTTTGTTCTGGATTTAACGCTCTGTTCAGAAGTTACATGCATTGTACTAAATTCCTGGTGCTTGTCTCGGGGCCCTGACACACCAGGCTCTCCTGTGATAATAATATATTCTCTAGGACTTCTGCTTTGCCACATTACCCTACAAAAGCCTCAAAGACAAGTTGTTAGCTTTTGTATGTGGTGCAGTAGCATGCTGTGCAGGCAGCTATTAGGTGAAAGTCACTGTGCTGTGCCACATCACATTCTTGCAAGGCTGCCATGTTTCTCGCAGGGTTACTTCATTAGCACTTGTTAAAGGTCCTGGAATCCCATGTGTCCCTGTGCTTGATTTAAAGCACAGCTTCAGTTATTAGTGAAGTATTCAGGGATTTCTGGGTTTGGGAGACTTCAGTGAAAATGAGTTAAAGTGACATTCTCTTGGCTTCTGCTTCCATGTCAGCTGCTTATATGCTCAGAATTTATTGAGTGAGTTGCAGCTCAGAGTTTTTTAGGAGACTCTCCATGTGCTCTCATGTGGCCCATTCTGTCCAGTTCACAGCTGGGTCATCCAGTTTTCAAGTGATTTGTGTAAAGATGTCTTTGAAGTTAATTACTGAGTAGAGCTAATCTAGAAAAACATGCATGGTGATACACACCTTTCTTTCAAAACATGTTCAGTTCAGCAAAACCAAGATATGATTCCAGCTGGTGCATGGGTCCTTAAGGAAAACTGTTCCAGATAAGCT